AGTTGTTGTTTCTGCCGCTCCTCAGAGAGAGGAGTCCTTCCCCTGGTCCCGTGGGATCCCTCCCATGGAAGAGAGTCCTTGATGGACCTCTCTGGGGTGAGTCCACCTCAGGCAGCAGTTCTTCCCAAAATGCTGTCCCGTGGGTCACTCCTTCATGGGGTGCAGTCCTTCACAGATGAGTTGTACCAACATGGGTCCCCCACAGGGGCCACAAGTCCTACCCAGGAAAAACCAGCTCCAGTGTGGGCTTCCCTCTCCATGGGCTGCAGGTCTCTGGAAGGACCCCGCTCCATCTTGGGCCTCCCGTGTGGTCACAGACTCCTTTGTGTATCCACCTGCTCCAGCATGGGCTGCAGGTAGGTCTCTGCACCCCGATGATCCCCCATGGGCTGCAGGGGCACAGCTGCCCCACCATGGTCTGCACCACGGGCTGCCGGGGAACCTCTGCTCTGGTGCCTGGAGCACCTCCTGCCCCTCCTTCTGCACTGACCTTGGTGTCAATCTTCTTGTTCCCATGTTCTCATTCCACTCTTCCCTGTCTGGAATTCTTTCTATGCCACAACCTTCTGTTCTTAAATATGTTATCACAGAGGCATTACTGTTACTCCTGATTGGCTTGGCCTTGGCCAGAGGCAGGAAGTCTCTCCTGGAGCCGGTTGGCAATGGCTCCATTGGAGAGGGAAGCTTCTAGCAGCTTCTAACAGAAGCCACCTCTGTAGCCCCCTCCACTAGCAAAACCCAGACACAGAAACCCACTACACCTGTTACTACAGGCCTTGGGCAGTAAGTCCCTTAATTAATACACCTTAATAAGATACTCAGTCTTCTCCAGGCTGAATGGAGCTCCAGTCACAGCTCTCTCAGCCTTTTCTCTTAGGAAAAAATGCACTAATCTCTCTTGTTACCCTTTGTTGGACACTGTACAGTAGCTCCATATCCCTCTAGTACTGGGGACATATCAAGCTACACTTTCATATATAACTCTACAAAATCTTTTAAGATATTTCAAATACAAGTTGCATGTAGGATACTTTGGGATTTATTTCCTAGCCTTTTCTGCTGATTAACTAAAATCAGATGACTGTTGTATTTTCTTGGCATAACTTGATCCTAAGACAGGTCAAAAGATCATGGTAAAGAGGCAGCTAAGTTTTTTTCAGCTTTCAGGACATTCAAGTAATAAAGATCTCCAGACAAAGCCCTCACTTTACAGTCTGTTCCAGATTACAGTTCCTGAGACCTACATATATATAAGCCTTTCAGTTGCGATTGTTCTACAAAGGAGGAAGACCTGATATCTAGTTCTGCTACAGAATAATAAACAGCCATTTGCAAAAGTGGTGTTGGATTAGTGTGTCTTCACACAGCTTTCATGCATGTCTACAGGGGGCTCCAAAACTCTTTGCAGTGATCTGTTTTGAATTAAATTACTGTAATGAAATTTACATCAAAACCAATTTCTGAATGTATCCATCTCTCTTCCTATACTCAATCAGGAATGAAGGAATGAAAGAAGGGAAGAAGAGAGGAAGGAAGAAGAGGATAATATTGCACTCACTGATTCATTCATCATTTCTTTTTCCATTTTTAGACAGTAAGATTATTTCATCTGCTCTCATATGAATTATAATTAATAGCATTAATAAGGTGCTTAGCCTACATTGAAAGAAAATTAATATTATTAGCCAGAGAATAATTCTCTAAGGCAGTGACATTGTAACTGTGAATGCTTTCGACTTTGGATTCTGTTATACACATATCAGTATGCAAAAGCAGTAGAAATACATGGTCCCAAAGCTTATCCAGAGGCTTTGTATTTTGGATTTTTGACATGGATTGTAATCATACTCTTCAGCAGTGGTTTAAAAAGTCACAAACATGAAATATTCAAATAAGTATTTTATTAATGTGTCTTTTGGGTTTTTCTCCTCTTAGCATGAAGATTGTCTTACAACTGAATTATTGCCCAATTTGATATTGATTCTCAATTAAAAAAAAAACAAACAAACCACAAATCAAAGTGGAATTGTTTTGCATTTAGAATTCTCAGTCTGGAGTGGACTTCTCTGTCTTACTAGAAAGGCTGTTGCTTTTTCTCACAGTTCAATCTTGATATAACTTTTTCATCACTGGTACCTGACAGTCCTAACTTCTTCTACTTGCAGCTTTGGGGGTTTTTTTGGGTTTTTTTGGGTTTTTTTGGGTTTTTTTGTTTTAGTCATCCACAAGGGTTTTCCACAATATTTCCCAGTCAGCAGAAAATATACTGTAAATTTCTTTTATAACTGAGTTAAAGTTGTGGGTTTTTTTCTACCTGAGGCCAAAGGTTTCTGATGTTGTACTATAATGTAGTTTTCTATACACTCATTTTTTCTTCATATGCTGTGTTGTCTTCACTTAGACAGTTTTGCAGCATATTGTTATACCTGGATTATTTTGTTCTTATTGCTTTTGCAAGGTACATTCTTCTATGCATAAATACTAATTTCTGCCTACTGAATGATAAAACCTCCTTTTCTGAAAAGCTTCCAGTTTTCACTTTTTCAACTTTTTTAGACAATTTTATTTGACTTTTCTACTGTAACATCTTCAGAGGCATTCCAAGAAAATACTGATTATTGACATCAGCAGTATAGTGAATGAATCTACTTTGTCTGACATAGTTGATGCATTAGGACTGGAATTTTCAGTGGAGGTTAATAAAAATAAGTACTCTCATCAACTGAAAGAAAAAAAAAAAGCTATATTATTTGTTCAGACTCCTTTGGAAATGACAGCCATAACTTTTTTTCGTCGTGCTAATAATGGAGGAGAAAGTAGCAGAGGAACTAAACACATTTTCTAGTTCTTGGAGTTACTATGCCATATTTCATCAGAGGAATCTTGCAAAACAGTACATAGCCAAATCTTACAAAACCAAGTAGCCAAACCCCCAACAGAAATAAAATTTGATACTTGTATTCTAGTAAATGACAGTCCCGGATCTGTTTCCTGATTAAGCTAACTCCACTGACCCTGATGCCTTTGTAATGAACTCTAAAGGACAATACGCAAGCAAACTCATGTATCTCCTCCAAGTTTGTTCAAAATTTCTGTATTAGCACCACTAAATTTGTATCTCTGATTTATCCCAAGTTTTTAAATAGTATGTTTGTGTCCTACAGAAGTTTGACACGTCTGCTAAGAGCCTGTAGTCATTCTGCAAAAGAGCAGTGGTTTTCACTGGTGGTCTAGTGGTAAAGGCGCGGCACTGTCACTGCCGAGACCCGGGTTCGATTCCCGGTCAGGGCCAGTCCCGGAGAGATGGAGCTCGTTAGCCCTTAAAGGCAACCCACCTACGTCCTGAGGACCTCGCTGCCACCGTCCAAGCTCGCTTGGCCCCGGCAGATGAACCTTAGGATTAAAGGGTGGGCTCAGTTCCGCGCACACTGTGTCTCACCTAAAAAATCCAATGCGCAGGCTGGAAGGTGGAAAGACCTTCCCCGGATCTTCGCTCGCGAAGACTGGCCATTATTATTTGTTATTATTACCACCTCTACATCACTAAATAGCCTGAAAGAGCAGTCAGCTGCCCTGCTTTCCAGCTTGCTGTTTAAACAGTGGAGACACTCTCTGGGGCAGCAAGGAAGCAGCAAAATGTAATGGCAGCAGCAAATGACCAATTAGGCTGGGATAAACACATATCGCACAACAGAAAAAGAAATATTAAAACCAAATGCAGAGAGTAAAACCAGCTAATGCTCAGTAGCTTACTGCAATGTGGATGCAAACAAAAATAATAACACATGTATACGTTTATCTAATACAAGTACTCAATTGACCAAATGCCACTGATAGAAGTGATAAAGTTTCAGGGTTGATTCAACTGGAATGAAAGCTGCTCTCTCTTTACAAAACCTGATTTACAAAAGAGTATTATTCTCTTATCTCCTACACTGAAAACCCTTCCTCAGCACATCACAGCTTCCCACAAAGGTTTTCCCCATTTTTGTAAATAATGCAGTAAGTACCTTACAAATCACTAAATGTGCTGTGCTGTCTTTTGCTCACTACTTCTGAAACCAGACTTCTTGATGGAAAATATGCAAAGAAATACATATGTTTAACTGCACATGCCACCATAATTTCTGTATTCAACAAAACTAAATATCTGTTCATAGAAATTTAATAAGGAAGTAACATTTTCTTGAAGAAAGCCAATTTGCACTGGCTTGTACTGAGAACAGAATCAACTTGGGGTATACAGGGAGGACTATAAATTCATCTTTAGCTCTTATAATACTGCTATTCTAAAGTATGATTATTTACAAATATGAACTGTTACTTGTTTACACAGGTCATTATCTCTAGAATCAGAGAAACACTTCAATATATCAAGAGATACAGGAGATCTGTTGAAAAATACAAGGACCAATTGCTCTCCAGCCTCAGAGAAGCTCTGAAGGGCAAGTTGTTTGGTTTGACTGTTCTACATAAACAGAAATGGACCTCACATTAGTGATTTCAATAATTCAGAGAACTCACTAAAATAATTAGCAAATTAGTTTTGCCAAGAGTGCATAGTATAGCCACTTTACTTGAAAATAATTTTGTATAGATATCACTTTTCAAATTAATATACTGTTTTATAAGGATAACCTGAACAGGTCAGATGGCACCCAGGAGCTCAGGGCATTGGATTTAACTGGATTTAACTACTCAGCTTCAAAAGTCCACAGTTAGGTGACCAAATCTCTGCTAAAGTTCATGCTGTATAGACTACCTCCATAGTCAAAGACGAGAATAGGCTTTTGTAGGATGAACCGTTTTGGTCATAAAATACATACTAAAAGAACTCAGATTATTGTGCTTTTTAAGTGACTGTTTCTTTCCCCTAAGTATAAAGGACAAGTATGACAGATACGCTGTAGACATCCAAATTGCTGGTTTGAATTTAGTGAACATGAACACAAGTCTCCCACGAATTCCCTCGATTGCTCTTAGAAGCACATGTAACATACCTACACTCCAGTCCATTTCCTCCACTGCATCACCATATAAGCCATGCTTGCTCTTTCCTCTGAAATTTTCTGAAGCATATAGAGCAGTGTGGACATGAAGATAAGACAAGACAAGCAGAAAGGGTGCATCAATGTTCCTAGAAAATAAAACAAACCCACAACTCCTCAGTATATTTTCAAATAAAATGGCTAAAAAGAAATCTTTCTACAGCAAACTTTAAAAAAAAAAAAAGACTCTCTCTCTTCCCTGGCCTCCCACCAAAACAAACCAACTAACCAACCAAAAAGACCCCAACCAAAACAAAAAAAAGAGGAAAGTGAAGGGAATAGTGTATTTGATAAGAAGGTAATCCAGAACAAACACACACACAGTAAAAATGCCATTCTTATACTGAATCAAAAGCAAAAATAAATTACTTAATTTACCTAATTACTATTTACTATATATACTGAAAGAGAACTTTTTTAAAGCCAGGAATCTAGCAGTTTCTAGAGAAAAAACACCTCTCTTCATTTTACAAGTACATATTTAAAAGCCTGAATACAATTGCTGTTCAAAAACATACCCTCAGAAGCACACATCTACATGAAACACAATTACCTTCCTTACTAAGTCACGTGGAAGCTGATCTGCTAGACTATTGTGAGGATCTGGGTCTTTATCCTGGACTAAGCTATATGACCAGCTCTCTTTTCATTCGAAGCTCTGTCCCTATATGCATTGATCATAACCTCGAAGTACATACTGATATTAAAGATTTTTCTCCTCAAAGTAATGAACAGTCTCCATTGTCTTCAGTTTATTTCCTGAACAGATGCAGTAGAAAGAGTGCAATAAATAGACTCTGTAAATTTTGCTGTTCATGTGATCTGTCAACATGATATTTATGATTAGTTCTAGCAGGCTGTGAAAGCACAGCTTTAGCAAGTACTTCTCCTTATGCATTATTTATAAAACTTTACTTAAAATTGTGCCGTACTAACCAAATTTACTGCTATATGCTCTAACAGCATTTGCAGTACATTATGCATATTGTAAGTATCAGCTGAATCACAAAAGCACCACCCACAGAACTTGTCTGGATCTCACCTTAAAGCACACAGCTAATTGCAGTCTATTTTTAGTTTTATTTACCATATTTTCCCTCACCAGTCTGTGGTGGATAATACCTGTGATTCATGTCAGCATCAAAGGGAGACTATATATTTCCTCAAGCAGTTGATTCATCTACCCTTTAAAGAGGGGAGGAACAATACAGACATGCTCATACAAACTGTTCCTTTAAAATTAACAAAAAATCCTAACCTTTAGAACCTGAAAACAAAGTATTTTAGTAAAAGAGATTAATCTGATATCAATACTTTAATCTTAAAAAAATATAATGTAGTATATTTATGATCCATTTTTCCTCTCTCCTTGGTTGGATATGTTTTTGCACAAGTTGCATGTTTTTTTACTGGCATATACAGCAGCACATAAACTCAAAATGGGAACATTTTATCTGCATTACTCCCTTGATAAGTGTGTTTTTGACAGGGATTTTTTCTTCATAAAAAATTTCTCTTTCTTTAAAAAAACCTCAACAGAATAAATAGAACTTTCTTCTTGGGGAAAATGGATACAAAATTATTTTATTTCTCTTACAAATATTTGTGCATTTATCCTATATAAGCTTAGCATTGTAAAGTACAGATTAAAAAAATGTTTTTTATAAAAGATACCATTTCCACAAAGTTGTTTATTGCTATTTGAAAGGTGATATATGTGAGAACTTTTGATTTTTGTAGCAACAAATAACATGAAACTTCTGAGTCAATTAAAATGTTTGAAAATATCACTTCAAGCAAAAAAAAGATGTATACTTATAAGTTAAATATTTAATATATACATAAATGTAACACTGACCTTTCATTAGAGAACATTGCTGCAAGGCAGCTGATTTCTGTTTTACTTGTATTTTTTACTTCCTTAGATTTTCATTTACGTTTTTCTTAAACACAGTTCACTGAATTGAGATTAATATAAAAATACTAGGGTAAAACACCACAAAAATTTACTTTATACTTATGACAGTGCAGACAAAAATTACTTTTCATGCAAACTGCCTTGTTCTGATGCCATAGAGATATTGCATTCTTCTATATCTTCTTTGCTTAAAGTGAGTATCAAAAGCCTCCACTAAAAATGATATTTTCAAGAGATAGTAACTCAAGTTTTTTGTAGTTTGGTTCTGTTTGTTTGTTTGTTTTAATAGAACTGATACAAAGATCAAACTTTCATGAAGAGTTATCGAATCAATGACTGATATAGAAGGGCACTACATCATTCTCTTCTTTCCAACTAAAATTGACAGGTTCTGATTGACAGCTTGCTGGCAGGTGGAGAAGTGTCTCACCTATTAATATCCTATAAAAGATCAGAGGCAGCTATTTATCTCCTGCCAAAACTCTTTGAGGAGTATTATAACTGACTACCTCTACCATGACCTTGAAAATGGAATGACAATACCAGCTAGTAGGCAGGAGAGAAATTTGACAACAACAGCTTAACACCTGAACTTCAATAAACAGCTCCTTCAAAAATGTATTACCACTATCTTTTACACAGTGCAAACACAGGGAATCTCAGTTTCAAAAGATCTAAGATTTTTTATCCTAACATGAATCACACAGTCTTTTCAATTTACTGAGTAGCCAGAGAGATTACATACATCTGACATAAGATATTCTTTAGTGTGTTTTTAATGGATCTTGAAAACATCTAAAAGCATCACATTGCTGATGATTCCTCTGCATTGCAAAGTACCAGGTTCTTTTTTACTGTGAGGAGTCTTTATACTACTCAAAGATTCAGCTCAGGCTTGAGCTGCAAAACACAGCTTTAAAGTGGGTGAGAGCAATTAAAACTAATATGACTTTGTGCTTCAAACACAAGTCTTTTAACTTTTTCCTGCAAATCTGCTCCAAATACTGCTCGCTGCTTTGAAAAGTCCTTGGGCAATTTTGTTTGCTTTTCTGTGCACTGATGTGGTGCAGCTGACACAATGCAAGAAAGGGATATCACCCAGAGGGACCTCGAGAGGCTTGAGAGTTTGTCCCATGAGAACTTAATGAAGTTCAACAAGGCCAAGTGCAAAGTCCTGCATCTGGGTGATGTAAATCCCAAGCAAAATCTGGGTGGACAATGGATTGAGAGCAGACCCAAGAAGAACGACTTGGCAGTGTTGGTTAGCAAGAAACTCCATATTAGCTGGCAATATGTTCTTGCAGCCCAGAAAGTCAACTGTATCCTGGACTGCACCAAAACCAGTATGACCAGCAGGCGTCCTTGAACACTTTCAGTGACTTTCAGACATCTACAACCATGTTACTTGTTCCAATGCTTCATCACCCTCTGAGTATAGAATTTCTTTTTAACATCTGATCTAAACCTCCCCTCTTTCAGTTTAAAAGCACTGCCCCTTGTCCTGTCACTATCTGTCCATATAAAAAATCCCTCTCCCTCCTTTTTATAAACCCCCTTAAGCTACTGGAAGCCTTCAGTGTGGTATCTCTTGAGCCTCCTCTACTCCATGCTGAATAACTCCAGATCTCTCAGCCTGTCCTCATGGGAAAGGAGTTCCATCCCTCTGATCATCTCCACGGCCCTCCTTTGGACCTACTCTAAGAGATCCACATCTTTCCTGTGCTGAGCACCTCACACCTGGACACAGTACTCCAGGTGAGGTCACAATGAGTCGACACAGGTAGATGCAAATTTAACTTTTTTCTTGTAACTCTCCTTTTACTAAAAAGATCTTATTCAGTATCCCCTCAGTGGATAAATTCATTAATGCTTATTCCCCATGGGTGCTTCCTCCACTTCCAGATTAGATCACCAATTAGACAGTGATCCTCGTGATAATGGCCAGTCTTCATGAGCGAAGATCCGGGGAAGGTCTTTCCACCTTCCAGCCTGCGCATTGGATTTTTTAGGTGAGACACAGTGTGCGCGGAACTGAGCCCACCCTTTAATCCTAAGGTTCATCTGCCGGGGCCAAGTGAGCTTGGACGGTGGCAGCGAGGTCCTCAGGACTTAGATGGATTGCCTTTAAGGGCTAACGAGCTCCATCTGCCCGGGAGTGGCCCTGACCGGGAATCGAACCCGGGTCTCGGCAGTGACAGCACCGCACCCTTAACCACTAGACCACCAGGGGCTCCCAATCCTTGTGATAGGACTGGCTGAATGCACTCCTTAAGCCTTCCTATTCCTGCAGGAGGAAAAAGGCAAACCAAACCTTGGCTTAGTTGTATAAAAGCAGGACTTTCTCCTACATGCTGGATTTTGTTTTGTTCTGACTGTCAGCTGTTAAAATTTTTGTTAGTATGAATGAATCCATGAATGAATGTTTCTGCCCTAGTCTTTTAAAAGACACACATTCAAACACAGATATTTTCAAAATTTTTCAAAATCAGAAAGAGAACTCCATACCACTTGGGGGTAACTCAGTAGAACCAGAAAAGGTGCTGAAAATGGAACTGAGAGGGGGAGGAAAATGTAAATATATAAATAATGTGACTCTTTCTAGTAGATATTAAAAGTAAAATGTGCTACTACTATATCTGCATTTGTGAAGCTATTCTTCCATGCAAATAGAAAAGACATTTTGACACCTATGATTTCATACCCATTGTTTTCTTTAAATGCTTAAGGTACACAATTCATATATGTTTTTATTTCCTTTCTATATAACCTTTTTTCTCCCCTCCCTAAAGTACATTTTCATAAGCATGGAGAAAGAAAAGGAATTTCTCACCTAGTACAGATTATAGTCATTACTAAATCCCTCTCCCCCACAAAACGTTGGAGGCCAATAGACAGATCTACTACTTTTTTAGAAGTGTTCCATTGACAATCTGGTCTGACACTCATCACAGAATTAGTGAGGTCCTTAATAATTCTTAAATTATTTTAAGATTTTGTAAAGCCCTATATGAATTCACACCTTTTTCCTGTTACCTTTTTGTTCAAAAGGCACAATCAAAGGTCTGAGAGAAGAGGCATGAAGATCCAGTAGAGTTGTTACAACTTATAAGTTACTACCTGGTTTTAATATATGTGCATATATACATCACATGTATACAAAGATTTACAAAC